TCAGCCACGAAAAAGAAAATCCTGCCATTTGCAACAACATGATGCTAAATGTAATAAGTTGGACAGAGAAAGACAAATACTATACGATTTCACTTGTATGTGGAATTTAAAAAAGCTGAACTCACAGAAACAGAGTAAAGTGGTGGTTTCCAGGGATTAGGGGGTGGGGGAAATGGGGAGATGATAATCAAAGGGTACAAACTTCCAGTTACAAAATGACTAAGTTCTGGGGATCTTATGTACAGCGTGGTGATTATAATTAACAATACTGCATTACAGTATATCTCAATAAAGCTAGAATGAAAACTAAATAAAATAAAAAGACAACTCTTCTACCCCAAACTTGCTCCTCCTCCAACATTCCCCATTCAGTAAATGGCATCTCCATCTACCTACCTTTAACTCTCCTTTCTCCTTCAAGGCCAACATCTAATCCATCAGCAAGTTCCGCTGATGTTCCCTCCAAATCTGTCCACTTTACCCATCGCCACTGCCAGCAGCTTAACACAAGCCATCCCCTCAATGACTTCCCACGGTGGTTAGGATTAAACGCCAACCTTCACCATACTAGCGCTACCCAGGCCACTCTCCCTGTGCCCTCACGACCCACAGCCATCGTAGCTGGCTTTCTGAGTCTCTCACAGCCAAGCTTTTTTTCCTTTAGGACCTTCAAACACATTTCCCCTTCTGCCTGGAACGTTCTCCTGCTTTCCACTCCTTCTCCCTTACTTTCCTCTAGCTAATTCCAATCAATCCTTCAAATCTCATTTTAAATGCCATTTCCTCAGGGGGCCATCCCAGCTTGTAATCCTCACCAATTTCTCAGTGGAAATCCCACTCCCCTGGTCATACCTCAGGGGCCCTGTACTCTTCATGGCACCCAGGACAGTGCCTCCCACACAGGTGGGGGCTGTGATGGTTTGCGGGGCCCCAGCATCTAGCACAGAGCCTCCTAGCACAGACCAACTCCCAATAAGCATCTGGCAGAAGAGGGGAGAATACAACCTAAGTCAAATAACCCATCCAAACATCCACATGTATTTAATAACCAAGAGGATGCTCTCAAAGCAGTTTTTTGTTCTTAACTACGAGCAGGTCCCTCCCTATTCCCCTGAACTCCTCAGAAACAAAAAGCAGAAGGCTCACCATGCCCTCTGAGCTGACTTGAAAATGCTCAACGCAGACAGCAGAGACCCCGCCTGAAGTTCTACCATCATGCTACGCTTCCTAAGAGTTTTACGCTTTCTTTCAGCATTTAAGCAGTAACAACAACAAAAAGTACACCATCACAGTCTGGCGGGCTTTGCTCCTCGGGATTCAGACTGCTTTGTCATCCCACACCTCGATGCTCATTACACAACAAAACACAAAAGACCAAGAACCATGAGGAACCCACCCCAAGGTAAAATTCCACATCGACTTCAAAAGGAAATCTCTGAGATAAAATGGCAGGAACTTTTGAAGCCTTTCGCCGTTTTGTAAGATATACATTATACCAAAATACCACCATTTTTGGTACAGAATCTTTTTTTGCTGGGTACAAAGGAAGTTAAATGCAAGTCTTTGTATAGCAAAGACACCGGGGGTAGTGTCCAGAGAGTGGCGCCTCACCCCAAGCTTACTGGCCACTGGAGGCGGGTCGGCCAAGACTCAAACACCACCACTTAGCACAACCTAGCTGCTTGGCACTTATTTTGTGGGGTTTGCTTCTTAATTTAAATATTATTTGATCAATTGAAATCCACTTGTAAGAAAATTTACTCTACACATCCATTTTTATAATGTGGTAACCCACGTACCACAAGAAAAAAATCCTATCAGATTAAAATATTCTGACAAAATGGTTTAAATTCCCATGTGAAAATTCTGCCCCAAACAGGTACCAGGGAAAGTTATTTTCTTAGCAACCTGTGGTGGTTATAGTCTTTAATGATTACTAACAAACACTTAACACTTCTCTAGTTTCAAAAGAAAACATTAGAAATAATTATGAAATAGCTTGGCCCAGAAGTTACAATAAATCCAAATTTCGGAGAAATTAGGAAGCAATCCTTAGACAATTGTTTTGAAACACGTCTGATGAAACACTGTGATGTGACATTTAAAAGAACGAAAAACAAAATGTGAGGAAGAGTCCAGAGTCTGGAGAAAATTTAGCCGTTCATCAGCGAACCTGAACACGAATCAGACTCTTCTGGCCAATGTTGAGCTATGCAAAGACCCAAATGGTATATCAGCCATAATCCAGAATGCTCCCTTTATAAATATAGACACATCGTACCTGCCAAGCAGGTTTTGGTCAACACACTGCCCTAAGTCCAGTGAAAAGGTGATCATAAATGTGTAGTTCCAACATGTATGACTCCTCAACCCCAAAAATCATTTGTGGTCAACAATCTCCAGCCTTCTTCCACCCTACTTCCCCATTTTCCTCTACTAACAGCCCCCCCCACACCAACATCCCCCTCCTCACCCCTTAGTTTCAGGTGAAGATTGCAGAAATGCACCATTACAGGGCTGACTCATATAACCAAAGACACCATTCCGGTGCCACAAGCATTAAGTATTTCACAAATTTGATTTCCTTTTGCCCAAGCTCATGGCTTTTCTCCTCTCTCCAGCTCCCAGTGCCCACCCTCCACCACCAACCCATAACCTCTGTGCAACGACCATTCCCCAGGAGCACAGCAGAAAGCACAGAAGATCATATTATAGTTGCCAGCCGTGGCTCCTTTGGACAAGGGTCTCCATCTAAAGGGTGGTGTATGCTCCCAAGTGGTTGCTATGGTAAACATGCCTTCTAACAAAGAACAGAGGAAAAGGAAGTCCCCTTGCTGCCCCCCTTGCCAAAATCCACATTGGCTCTGGAAAAAATGTTTTACCAACTCCTCAGATTGTTAATTTCTACATACTGAAAATAAGGTGGTTGGGGCCTAAGTGGTAGCAACTGTTCTTAAGGGATTTGGGGGCCCGGGGGATGGAGGGAAGGAGGGCAATCATCTCTCTCTCTCTGAATAGACAAATGCTCACTCTCACACAGGAGTAATGCTCACCAGTACAGACCCATGGACCTCCATGCCACACCAACAAAGGGCTGTGTCCACTCTGAACCACTTCTAAAAATGGAATCTTCTCTCCACACTTATAGAGAGAAAAGGCTTCCAAGAGATTTTAAAGATAACGTCCTTTCTCTGTACCTAAAAAAAAATGTGAGTGAGTCCTGCCAAGCGATGTCCAAAAAAGCAGAAAAAGAAATTTCCAGGCCTAGACCCACACTGGGAAATTCAACGAGGCAAGAAAAGGAAAGGACAGGCTTCCTCATTTTACTCTCTATCTCTAGAACTCTGTAACTATCACACTTTTAAAAAATCTTTGTGGACTGTTAAAATATTTTTTTACACAGCATCACTTTTCTAGGAGAAACCTACATCAGAACCCTGAGCCAACAAGTTCTTTACACCTAAGACACTGTCCCTGATGATGAACCGATTTATAGTAAGCAAAACAGAACCAGCCACAGAAAGCTACTTTCTACTCTCTTAGGAGAGAACATTCCGTAAGGCCCTGGAAAGGGAGCAGAGAACTGGGTCCAGTCCTCACTCTGGCCACTAACTCAGCGTGTGACATTGGGCAATTCACTTAAGGCATCTCTGGGTCTGTTTCCTTTTCTGAGTGCAGGTTGAGCCTAGCTGATCTAAGGTCACTTCCAGCCTTGAAATCTTGGCATTATAAGAGCATGTGTAATTATGAACATCCATTTTATCGTGGGGTTGGAGGAAGAAGGAAGCTTCTGGAAAATGTCAACCTTCTTTCTACATGCTTCGTTTATAAGGTAAGAATTCATAAGACATTTTCACAAACGATGACTCACGACATGGTTTTACGGAAATAAATTATTTTGTGATATATACGTACACATACATATATATATTTAATACTCATAAAACAGAGGCATAATTCATTAAATTATACTCAATTATAGCAAGCTACAAAATAAGGAGGCAGTTAGCCTGAAATTTGACACAGTGCATCCTAAGATTTTTCCACTTAAGAAAATTATTTTGCCATTTTTAGAAATTACAAGTAACACAGAGGCAAAATATATTAATGGATAACATTTTGTGATACTTAAATAAAAAATACATGAATTGTTTCAAGCTTTGCATAATTCTACCTGTCATGGATTCGCTATAATTATTAAATAGTCTTCCATTAATTATTTCAAAAATATGAAGTCCAGCTCATGATACAAATATATAGAAGAGAATATTCTAATAAGGCTAAGCTATCTTCTCAAGAGGTTAATTTATAAATTCCACTTTCAGAGCCTACAAAATCCTAAGAAAGTGCATTAAAAATATATGTAGACACACACTTTATGTTGTAGTCTCTTAGTACTACAAATGTTACCTATATTAAACCCGCATGCTTGCAAAGCCATAGATGTACTGCTTAAACTTCATTTAAACCTTTCCAAGTTCATTTCTACTCCAGGCGTACAATCGATCAGCCCAGATGAAATTTTTCTGATGTTAGTGTAGAATGTTTACTTTCCAACAATTAAGATAAAGAGGGTGGGGGGATTGGAAAGTCTCAAATCCAGGGCTTCCCTTTTGAGTTTTCTAATTCCCTCCTCTACAACTCCCCTTCCCTAAATGACTTTTTCAGGAAAGGTTTGGGGTATTGTATTTTTTTTAATTGCTTTGATACCATTCCCAGTCTTCCTGACACTGTTGTGCCCAATTAACTGGAGCCCACAAAGCTAGACGCTAGCCCAATACTAGGGGAAAAGGTGGTGGGGAAATTTCTAGGTAGGTAACAATCGCTAAGGTCCAAGAGCAGAATACAAGTACCTTCTAGATATAACCCATATCCAAGAAGATGCCAAAAAAATATTTTTAAAGAAAGAAAATCTGGTAAACAAGACCTGTCATCAACAAAAGAGCGTTTTCCTCATCTCCCCCAATAAAGGAAGCGATCGCCTTTGTAAGGTCACTTACAACAATGTGTGCGGGCGACGGAGAACGGGCATCCTTGAGAGCTTGTCTGCTCTGGAGGGTCCCCGCCTGGACATCAAGCAGTGGCCATTTCATCTGGAGATACTGGAGGGAGAAAACAAAACAAACACGGAAAATGAATTTAGAAAAGAAATGCAAAACAGCTACCCCAAGAGTTATCTCTTGATACGTGATACATGGATCAGACACTGAAAAACCTAAAAGCACACAAATAACAACACTAAAAAAACTTAACAACGACTTCAACAACAACAGAAGAATCATGCAATACCAATAGGCTCTTCCTTAGAGTTCATGTTCTACAGGTACATGTATAGAACATCAATATAATTAGCCAATAGTATTATATTCAAACTACAGGGTGGCTTCAGATAAAATGACTTCATGAGTACTACCCCATTTAGAGGGGAACACTGGGGAGAGGGAAGAAGGGAGGGAACACAGAGCTGTTCTGAAGGAAGAAAGCAAATGGGAGTCTCAAGCCAGAGGTGTCCTAGCCATCAATTCCCAATCTGCTCTTTCAGCGACCTGCATTTCTAAAATGCCATCATCCTTCACTTTCAAGAAAGCTGAGTACGTATGTGCAACTGTCCTGTAGTAGAAAGTACGAGTGAGGTGAAGATGGAATTCCTCATCCAACCCAAAATCATATAAAACAAAAATATTTCTTGGTAAAAGATGCACAAACAGGGCACGATGCAATTTAGACACTCATCTCAAAAGGCCGGAGAAATTCTTAAATACACACAGATTCACCACAGAGAGAAAAATAAAGGTATGTGCCAATTAGGTCTATCTCTGCCCTTCTCTGAGATAAAAAATAAATACAAGGGAAAAGGATCTACCTCTGTCAAAAGTGACACTCAGTTCAGACGGACCTGAACAGTAGGCTGACCCAACTCACCCTGGTGCAGATGAAGGAAACTGAGGTGAGATGGCTTGTCCAGGCACAGAGATATTTAGCACGTGTATAAGCAACTCTCAGGTATTTGACTTTTGTTGTTCACATTACACCAGTTTCACTCAGGAAACCTTCTGACAACTGAACAAAACTTAGACACAATGCTAAGATTTTAATAAGGACATTGACACCACCATTTGTACCACTAAAGGCCAACTGATTAATGCATCAGTTAACGCTTGGAGGGTATATAAGGAGCCATCTTGATCTTTCCAGAGACCCAAAGCAAAATAAATGGCTAGTTTCAATATTAATTCTACGGAAAATTTTACTCAATGAACATTGAAAAAAGCGTGCTTTGTACACAGCCTTCTTGCGAAGCATTATGGAGAGAAAAGATGCCTGCCTTCAGGGAGCTTATATACGTGTGAGGGAGCCAATTCCCACACAGATAAGTCAAGAGAGAATGTGGTGAAGCCGTGACAGAGACTCAGGGAATCGTGCCCAGGGAATGCCAAGAGAGAAGACGGCATTTCTGAGAAAAAAAGACCGGGGAAGGCTGCACAGAGGTCTTGTGAAGTCAGAAATATTTCAACAGAAAAAAAAAAGGACAGCGAAGGGCAGTCCAGAAGGAAGGAAGGGTTTGCTCCAGTTCCAAGTGAAATAGAAGGGCCCACGCCATCCACAAGCTCTTCTACTGGTTCCTCAAAGATACAACTGTTCCGGGGAATTAAAAGCAAACTCGGTTATACCTGAAGCTGGAAGACCCTAGCCCATGAGCTACCTGCCAACGTACAGAGTCATTTTCCCAAACTAGACCTATACAAAGTTGGAGCAACTTCTACCATTTCAGAGCTTTTACCTAGAGGCCTCCTGTGGTGAGGAAACCTGGTTACTTGTCTGGTAACTCGCCACAAGACCTGGCATCATAAGCTGTAATGTGTAAACTGAAAGAGTTGTCCTATCTGTGATGGGGGTGGGTGAGGGGCTGCCCCAAGCACTGAAGGACTTCTAGAATTCTGGGCCCCTAGAGAGGAAATACCAACAGGCAGCCCTTAGCCACCCCTATAATCAAACCATTTCCAAATACCTTCTTGGGGGCAGTATCATCCCAAGTTGAGAGCCAGTAAAGTAAATGTTTCCATGGTCTCCCTCAGCCCTATAACCCACGCACGCCAGTAGGCTATGGGAATCTATTCTGCCCTGTCTCACCCTGACTTCTTCCCATTCTCACTTGCCACATAAATATATGGGCCTCATTGGTCAAAACCACTCAATAGAGTCATTTCCTTGAGGCCAACCAAAATGGACACCCGCCAACACTCACCTCTCCATCTCATAAAAACCTGTGAAGAAAAATGCCATGCTGAGTCGCCACACACCTACATCTCATCCTACCCTCAAAGGGGAGAGTGAGATTAATGGATAAGTTTTCATCTTTGGCCATCTGTAAAACTGATTTGATCGCATCCAAATACAAACTCCACAGAATTAGGAAATTTAGGCTTCGTTGAAGGTGACAGACCTGCCCTGAGGACCCCACCCAAGAACTGTCATACCCAAAATGCAATATTAATGCAGAGACTTATAATTCTTACTTTACATAAAAGCTTCATTGTGTGCCATATCCAATCTCCACAGGCTACCTGCACCACATATTTTTATGAGCCTACATTTCAGCGCTCCGAGCCTACAATACACATAATTTTCAATTATGTTAGGGCAGCCCAGGATCACTGCCTATATAACATTACTGGTTGGAGGAAATGAGACTCGGCCCCGCTGCCCAGAGAGAGCTAACCAGATCCAGATGGTGGAGGAAGACAGCCCCAGTCCTGCCGACTTGCAGGGACTCCAGGGTGACAGCCCCAACCTCTCCATCCCAGTGCAACTTGATCCCACAGAATGGCTGGGTCCCTGCAAATCCATGCCCGTCCCTTAGATCTTAACTGGCATTCAGGCTGTCGAGGTTCCTTTTGGGGAAATAAGTATTATGTCAGGATTTTTTAAAGGAAGTTATTAACCTCCTCCAAAAGTGATGGGTTTCCCAGGTTCCTTCATCTTCTACAATTGGTCCTTATTAATAGGGAAAATAAATAAATAAAGGTAAGAAAAAGGAAATTAGGTACTATTATGGCCTAGAGGAAAATCTTTTCCTTCCTGGAGACATTAAGCAGCAGGAAATTCTATTCTGTTGGGTCCTAAAGGAAGACCTGAAGGAGGAGGCATCTCGGATTTACGAAAGGGCTGGATCGCCACACCACATTTTCCCAACAGTTCAACTTCGGTTTTATATCCTTTTGGGGAAGAAAAAAAAGTTCCCACCATCCCACTATAAAAACAACACTGGGCTCCAGCTCTCTTCCTTTTAGGCTGCTCAACGTGGAAATTATGAATTGCCTACAAAAACATTAAACTTTTCAACAAACTGCAATCAAATGGGGCTGTGGGAATTCTTACATTGAAAACTGTTGAAATGGAGTCTGCCTGACTTTCATTTTGTAAAAAAATAAAAAATGAAATTAAAAAATAAGGCCATCTTGGCTTAAGCGTTTCATCCTTTGTTTAATAATAATGTTCTGCTCATGGCCCATTAGGGTTTTTCCCAAAATCATATTTTACGATACGTCTTAGGGAGCTTAAGTTAAGCTTTGGACCTGTGGGCAAAGTCTTGAAATATATACAACACCAATGGCCTAAAAGGAATCAAGGCGGTTTAAAAGCCTGTTAAATTGTCAGTAAAAAAGAAAAAGGTACATTATCTCTAATGTCTCCTCCTCCACCTCCCCCATCAAAAAAGGAAAACGAAAGGCAAATGGGGAGGATCTTCCAGATCAGAAGGCCCCTCCGGGATCTATGTTCGTAGCAATGGGCAGCTACTCAAGGGGCCTGAGAGAAGCTGCTCCCATAAACACATCCCCATCCACATGACTCCAGCTTCAGGATGACGAAGACGGGCTGCTCAGAGAACCTGCCACCTTAGGGCCGCTGAGGTCTTTGCACAAATTTATTATCTAAACAAACAGCACAACTCAAAGGACAATGAGAATAACGATGACGAAGTTGCCAGGAAACTCCACATCCTTGATAAAACACCCAAGCGGCTTCAGGGCACTTCCTTTCATTCACTCCATTCCACAGGTGGACGGGCACGTCAAGTCTGTCCCTTTATTTGTTCAGGGCAGGGGTGGCAAACGTTTTTTGTAAAGGGCCAGATAGTAAACATCTTAGGCTTTGCGACCCATACCGTCTCTGTCCTAACCACTCAACTCCGTCACTCTAACACAGAGGCAGCCATAGGCAATATGCGTCTGTATTATGTCATGGCTGTGTTCCAATAAAACTTTATTTACTGACACTGAAATGTGAATTCCATATGATCTTCCTATGTCAGAAAATATTATTCTCTTGATTTTTTTCAACTATTTAAAAATAATAAAAATCATTCTTAGCTCACAGGCTGTACAAAACCAGGTGGCAGGCCACCCTGGCCTGTGGGCCGTAGTTTGCCATCCCTGGCTTAGGAAACGAAGATCATGTCAAAAAGGATACTGTCCTTCACCAGGCCTTAAATCCAGACAGCCAAACACAATCACATAGGAAAACATGTTTGGTAGCCGAAAAGCAACATTTCGGATTGAATCGTCACTGGTAAACTCAAGTTTTGGGGGAAAAGCTTGGAAAAGAATCTGAGCTCTCTGGCTGTGACTGTCAGTCACAAGGTCTAACCACTAGACCACAATCTCACCGAAATAACTAGCCCTCCTTTCCAAAATGAAAGTTAGAAAATCCCTGAGCAATTCTGACTGGAAAAGTTTCATGTGTTCAGAAGTTCTCACTCACTTCCCAGGAGACGCTGGCAACGTGTCACATGTCATCAAATCACCACAAAAGAGCACCATGCAGAAATTCCTTGGGTCATGGGTCATGTGCCCTGTGTGCTTTGGGAATCACCTTTCTAGGTCCAGAAGCTCCTCTCTCCAGAACTTTTCAACGTGTACAACTTTCACATGTCACAAAGCTGGAATGAAGTCCATGTTGTGCCAACTCTGTCCGCCACCAACAGATGGCATTTGCCAGGGGCACAGGCAAAATGCAGAGTGCAGGGTGGGAAGAAGGACACAGTGGGGCCTGATGAGACTGTTCAATGGAGATGAAGCCAGTCCTTCTGAAAGACTAGGTC